TTWAAAAAAAWTATTTTGATAATTTTTAAAAGTTTCCATCTCATCAGAAAGTATTACATTGTTTTTTTGGGTTTTTTGGGGGGAGGGTATCAAGAATTGAACCCAGTGGTGCTTTATCATACATCACCAGTTCAGTCCCTTTTCTTTTCTTTTTTTATTTGACAGGGTCTTGCTAGCTAAGTCACTGAGCCTGGCCTCAAACTTGTAATCCTCCTTCCTCAGCCTCCTTAGTTGCTGGGATTACAGGTGTACACCACTGTGCCTRGGATAAAAATGTTACATTGTTATTTCAGGGTTTCCTCCGAGATATATTCAAGGTAATTGGCTTATTATAATATGTATATTCACTATATATGATTTTAAACTCTGCTCAATAGTGAGCAATACTCTTAATCACTCATAAAAACATATTTGATAGAAAGGTTGTCTGTACTGGAAATTATCACACATTTGATTAGTAATGATATCACTAAGTTAATCAAGTTGATAGGCTTAAAATAATRAATTCTACAGTCCATAGTAAAATCAAAATTTTTTTCTAAGATAGGACAAGCTGGAAAATCAATTTCCAAAACATCTTTCAAATTTTTTAACAGGCTCTTTTCTGGATCCCATGAGTTATATGTTCCTGCTCATTTTAATTCCCTGGGGTTATACTATATGGTCTGCTCGAAGAAATCAGCACTTAGGAAGCATAGTAAATGCTGAGGGCCATTGCCAAGTAGGAATGATGCATTGAAATTTCCTTGCCAGCATACCCCATGTTAAATGGACTTGCCTTGGAAATTTGCTGTGACATTGCATGTGTGTTTGAGAAAGGTGACCTGCTCAAGGATGAGGGTGGATCCAGGTTTAGGGTGTATCCTGCAGGTTTTAGGAAGTATCCCTGTTTAGGATAATTTGGGTTTAAGGCGTTCCTGGTTTAAGACAATCTGGGTTTTAAGRTGGTTCCAGGTTTAAGGTTATTCCTGCTAGGAATAGGGCGTATCCTGCTGCCTCAGGCACRCCGGATCCTTGRGTTCCCCTTGAGTTCTCGAGGGATTCAGAAAAGTATTTTTGGGATGGAAAGCCTGGTGGAGTACGTGAATTGGGCGGCAGAACTTGGRTTTTTCCCAGAATGTGTGCAGAGGCCGGTGTGAGTTCGGGAATAAAGAATTGCTGTTTGAATCTACAAAGGTGTGAGTGGCTCGTGATTCTGTGCCCAGCCAGATTTCGGCAAGTAAAATAATAGATTCTACCTCTATATTTATGGAAGCATCATTCCCTAATGCATTCTGCATACTGTTGCACTCTATGTAGGGTTTTTGTTTGTTTGTTTGTTTGTTTGGCTCAAGTACCCAGGTCTCATTGATTTCATCCATAACATCCCCAAATGCCTTCAGTGATTTTAATGCTGCCAAAACTGACTATGAATGCTTATTAAGGAGCTCTGTGGTGTCCAGGAAACAGAAAATGGAACAGGAAAATCCACAAATCAATCTGGCGATTCTTCAGGGTACTTGGCTTTCAACTTAAGAGTGATTAGATGCTCTCTACCGAGGCATTTTTGGCTTTTAACTCTATGCTACATATACAAGTTTTCCAACTGAGAGTTCCTATCTCTTTAATAAGGCAAGTGCGGGGGTGGGGGGTGGGGGAGGTAATGCATAGAGTAACTTCCAAAACTATCTTCAACTTCATCATAAAGTTCATTAGATCAAGAAAGTGTTCTCTGTTACACCAACTGATGGTGTCCATTAAGCATTGTTCTCTGCCACCAACTATGTAATGATCTCATATTCTTCAGTTACAGATCTTTTGCAATAATATTCTGAAGTGGAAGTTTGTTCCCTGAACCAGAATGAATCCTTCATACTCTGTTTTCTCCAGGTTT